GGCATTTAACTGACAAAAGAGTATTTTAATAAAAGAAATTCAAATGCCTAATTGAGACACGTCTTCAAGTGTCACAAAACCCTTTAAAAACAAATTTTCATTTATTATCTTGGTGCTTTTGTCTAGCAGACTGCCGAGCAGCAGGAGTAAGAGGCATTGGTAATGAGGAAGAAATTGACCTTGCAGAGCACCGGGCACAATGCTCACTGGCCCACTCCAGCCACTTCACAAGTTTTTGTTGCACAATGCTCATTTTCTGTTAGCTTTTTCTTAGCATGCTGCTGCTTTTGTGTGTCTAGACTGTAGCAGGCTTGGAAATTAAGGGTGGCTGTGAATGCCTCACATTTTTAGGCCAGTCACAAACAACCATCACTCCCATTAGTGATTTTTATTACATCGCATTAAATCTCTTCAAGTCAAAGGGAGGTGAGCACTTAACTCATCTGTGTCTTTGAGAATGTTCACCTGTGTAAACTAGCAGCAAAACTTTTATCTGCTTCTACAAGACAGACAGTGTTTTACCAGGGAGAAGCGACTGCACTCTGCTCGCCTGGTGAGAAGTTTCACACTGGATAACTGAGGCTACCAGGGGAAAAAATATCTCAGGCACTATACATCCTCAGCAGCCACTCATTATTTATTTTGAGCTATAAATGACAGAATCATTTAGGCTAGAAAAGACCTCCAAGGTCGTCGAGTCCAACCTTTGACTGATCTCCACTATGGTCATCTAGACCACAGCACTAAGTGCCATACCTAGTCGTTTCTCGGACACCTCCAGGGATGGTGACTGCACCACCTCCCTGGGCAGCCCATTCCAACTCTTGACAAACCTTTCTATGAAGAAATTCTTCCTGATGTCCAACCTGAACCTCCCCTGGCACAGCCTCAGGCTACGCCCTCTTGTCCTATCTCTGGTTGCCTGGGAGAAGAGACTAATCCCCCAACTGGCTACAACCTCCTTTCAGGTATTTGTAGAGAGCGAAAAGGTCTTTCCTGATCCTCCTTTTCTCCAGGCTTAACAACACAAGGTCCCTCAGCCCCTCCTCGTATGCTTTACTCTACAGACCCTTCATCAGCTTAGTTGCCTTTCTCTGGACACGCTCCAGCACCTCAATGTCTTTTCTGTGGCAAGAGGCACAAAACTGCACACAGAAATCAAGGAGTGGCCTCACCACTGATGAGTACACAGCAACAATCTCTTCCCTGGTCCTACTGGCCACATTGTTTTTGACACAAAGCCAGGATGCCACTGGCCTGTTTGGCCACCTGGGCACACTGCTGGCTCATGTTTAGCCCCTGTGGACCAGAACTAAATCATAGCATTTGGTCACCTTTCTCTAGGCTAGAGGACACTTAAGAGTCCCCCTTGTTGGATCTGTTCAGAGTTCACTGCTGCCAGTGCATTTGTGGGGAATGGGGTGCATCTGATCCTCTCCTGAGAGCTCCATGGAAGGACGTGACCCACCAGCACGTCCTCCATGTCCCAGCTGTGCCAGGCTGGGGGACCACAGAGGGAGGGAACATCATGAAGGCAGCTGTGACTCTGGTCAGGCATTAAGCCTCTCCCCTAAGTGCCCTGGGTTGCAGTGCTCCTTCTCCAAACCAGGGTCTCTAGGGAGTACAAATCTACTCTTATGCCCTTGCTGCACTTTCTGTGCATGGACTGATGATTTGCACAAAGACACCTCCTGCCACCAGAGCTGTGACACGCATTACTCTACTGCTGTGAATGTACTCTTTGAAAACCAGAATGCTGTTCTTGTTTTTCCTCCTCTCTACGCCCAATTAAAAACATGGATCACTTCAGCTACTGGGGTGAAAATGACTCTTTTGCTAATGATTTATGTGACAGAACTTTAACTGCATTTTAATCACAAACATTCATGAAAAGCATGTTTTGGTGGAAAAGCCAAGTACCTAAAAGTCAGCAGTAAGAGCTCTTCTTGAACTTACTAAATATTTGTAATGCTAAGTATCCTGAAGATATACAATTACCTCACCCTGGCTTCCTAGAATGCAGAGGATACTTTTTTCCTATGCATTTTGCTATCTCAACAATCCATCTGCCAAAAGCAATGTCACCTTGCTCGGAGAGGATCTCTGTGCTGATTCATTAGGCAGTGTTTATACATTACCAACAAGACCAAGGAAAAGCTTTCAGGAAGTTAATAAATCATATGTCAAAGGAGGTTTGGAAAAACACCCAGTACAGAACACAGCAGGACACATACCTGGCATTAAGGAAATATCCAAATATGATATGATTGCTTGTTATCAGAATACTGCCTTTCCTTCAGCCTATAAGGAGTCGGATTCCATGGAAAAAAAATACCACGTGATCACACAGCAGTGGTCAAACAATGAAATTGTAAGGCTTTGTGTGTGCATATTCTTAGAGGAGGGCAGAACACCTTGTAAAGTCTTACAAGTAGGTCACTTCTCTACAAAACTTCAAACCTTTTCCAAGTCTGTGGAGCTTTCCTATGAAAGACCCCCAAGACTACAACATCATTTCCCCTTAACTTCACTCTTAGAAACAAGGTGAACTGTCTTGGCTCAAATTAAAACAAATAAATACATAGAAACAGCATGTCAAGCCCAAGACTGATATCCGAGTTCACCTCCAAGACTTAACAGTTTGTCAAAGGTGAATGCAGGTGACATTAGGCTCTGCATTCAGGAATGGTTGGGTGACAATGTACCCACGGCCACAAGCGAAAACCACTTTGCTGTCCTGGCCAGACCTTGCCACTTCAGTAAAACCAGACAGCAGAAATTACCGCAGGCAGGAAACATGACAGCAGCCCCCTGCCCTCCTTGCCTGAACCTCTGTTACTTTTTAGCAACTGCACACATCTACATACAGTAGAACTACAAGCATCTTTCCTGAAGATATCTCACCCAGTTCTACTAGATCATGAAATATTAAATAGGAAAAATCTCATGCCTTTCTCTCTCCCAGTCTCCAGTATGCAAGAAAGGCGCCAGTTCACCCTCTGTTCAGAGATTGCTCAGTGCTGCAAGGACTGAAGCAGGTGCTTCTAGTTTGCATTTTTAAAATAACCATCCAGTGCCCTTTTAGGTGAGGGCTCACATGCTGCTGTTCTACAGAAAGAGAAGGGGCAGAAGGAAAAGCAGCATTTCACTCACTAACATAGTTACTGTAGTTGCTCTAATTCCCTGTCCAGAGCTTAGCCTGTCCTTTGGGGCTCCAAGTTAGATGCTCTGCATAAATAATCTGGGAAGATTTCCAGATTCCTCATGAAAAGTGAGGTGTGCAACACTTGCTGTGCTGGGTTCCTCGTTGTGCAGTAAGGAGGACAAGGATAAAAAATTTGGCACGTGACCACGGTTTGATTTGAAATTACCTGCCTGAGTCAGTTCAGTGCTGGTGAGAAGCCTGACAGATGGAGAAAGAGACCAATAACTAAATTCTCCCCGCTCTGCTCTCCAACAACTGCTACCTAAGCAGCCTGGATACCCTGCAGTGTGTGATTTCTGTGTTTTGGAGTGCAGCCACATGCAACTGTGTTCACTGGCAAAACAAACGAATAAATTTGGCTGATTACTCAGAGGGGATACCACAATATAAATCAAAGCAAAATTAAAAACTTGACAAAGCCCTTTTTGCCCTGACCATACTATGGATTTGTAATAGTGTTAACTAAGGCTTTTCTATGTTTTCCATCTCCCAGGAACTTCTATTTTTGTGTCTCTCTCTTTGTGAAGGAGCTGAAGATATAGTGGGTAATTTTTACCTAATATCACTATCCTGAGTTCCTACACAGTTTGTGTACAGAAAGAGTCAACCCTCCTAGTCTTACTCATAAAAATTTTTCTTAGGGAGATGCCTCCTGTGAATCAAGTGAGTAGGATTTATAATTGGAGGAGTGCAATAAAGATATCAGTAGATGTAGCAGGTTGATTCATCTGACAGTTTATTATAATAGATCATTTAATTTTACCACCCTGCGGGGTGAACTTAAGATCATACTGCTTTATGGATTTTTTTGTTATTTAGATCACAGAATGAAAAGCCACAATACTTGCAGTTTCTCAGGTGTATTTAGACTCTAACTGATCCATTAAATCTCCAATTTTTCATTAATTAACCAAAAGGAGAAAATTAAATATTAGCAAGCAATCCTCCGTGGAAGTGGAGAATGAGTAGGAGGTATATTATACATGGCTGCCAAATTTGGAGAAGTGTATGTGTCAATGGCACACAAGCAGGTTGCTCTCTTTGCTAAAAACAGTCCTTATTGCCTTCTCTAGCCTGGGTGAACACTATGCAACCCCTTCTCTGTGGCTGCTGGTTTCAAGATTCTTTAATACAGCAATACTGTTCTCTGATGTTTCTCCAAGTTCTTCCCTAGGCTCCCCCACTCATTTCAGGCGCTCTCCAGCTCTCTGTAGCACTCCTCCCACACCCTGATCTTTTGATATGGCTGATTGGAAATTTCTCTGCAAAATGAGCTTTCTTCTTTTTCTGCATCAAGAAAGGAAATTTTCACCAAAATGGCATTTCTTTTAAAAATGGAAAATGGTCTCAAAACTAAATATATTTAGTCAGCTGAATTATTTTGGCCGATCATACCAAATAGAAACATTCTGTTGTGGAAAAATTTCACATTAATTTGTCTTCCCCTGAGCTCCCTCGCAGAAGCTATGGCTCAGGTACCTTCGTCTTGCAAGCTGTGCTATCCCCTATGGGCTGCAGCCCCAGCACCTTTGCACATACCAGCCTCTGCTCTGGTGAGCAAAAGGTATCTAGCCCCTATATAAGTCCCTGAATGCAAAATTTAAAAGACCTAGGAATAAGCAATCTGATGGCAGTAAGAGAGTCAGCATTTCTTCTAGTCTCAGCACAGAACAAAACAACTGGCTTCACACTTGCGTTGCTTTAAAGTCATTAGGGTGCAGCACACGGCTTCCCTTGGCCCTGAGCAATTGCACATAGGAAAAGAAATCTGTTTAGGAGGGATGAAAACATTTCTTCTTAAAATCTTTAATGTATACAGAGAATAAGGGAGCAAGGACGGTTCTAAGGTGTAACCATTTGGGATAAGCTATGTAACACTTCAGGGTGAGCAAGGGGATTTCTTGGATTTATAAGCTGCAAAAAAAGAAGCAAGAAGCTCATGCTGTGAGGAGACAGGAAAGGTGACAGTGTGTAAATCCTGGTGTGGGAGGAAGTGATTTCGAAATGGCAGTTTTATGGGCACCCAGAATACTGGCTATGCCAAGCACTCAGGCTGACTCCCCTTGGATAGATAGGTACCTTCTGTCTCAGCCAGGCAATTATAGTTCTGGCATCTTGGGTAGTCCCTGAGCTCAAGTAGATTTATTTGCTTTACAGCAAAGTGAGCTGCATAAGATGATGACTTTAACAAACAGACCCAAGGAAGGTTGTAAAACTTTCTTGACAAATTTTACATGTAAAATGTAATTGCACAAACAACGTATTAGATAATTCAATACACACGATTCATAGTCACATATGTATTAAAATTTAACTTTAACCTGGAGAATTTACCTGTGTGAGAGACAGTTGAACTAAACAGTTATAATTTACTGTTTTGTTGCAGTATAACAACAGTGAGGTTTCTATAACATGCAAATGTCTGCAAAAAGACACACAAAACCTAACAGGATAGGAAAATAACAAATCACAGTATATGCATTATGGGCAATGGGCTTATTGAAATAATTGCAAAGGATCCTCTCTAAATCAGTGGCCCTGGGTTAAAAATGAGAAATTCCCAGCTTCCTTAAAATACCTATTATAATATCTTTTTGCATACTTCTGAGGATTTCAGTGCACACTGAGCACATGAGATTGCTCCACTTTTATATCCAAATCCATCATTTATGAGGAAAAATCACGGTACACATGCATGCTTATCTCCCACAAATACAATCCAGAGGTTGTAAAAGGTGTTTTGTATCCCTTGGGGGATGTTAAACATTAATAATAATGATGATATGCAAAAAATGACAGTGCCCTTGTTGGATTTGCACACAAGTAGCTGAGAGTAAGTATTGAATGAAAGCTCAAGAAACCTTAAGAAAACCTGAATAAGTGGTTTTTCAAAACATAGGAAAGTTAAGCCAGGTAGAAGCATAATAAATGATCACTCATATGACCTGGCATCTGCATTCACCACAGTGTTTCTTAGTGGATACATGTACCAAACACACCCAAAAAACCCGATAAAACTAGACTGGATTTGGGAATTAATATATTATTGACTTTGCTTGTGGCCATGTTTTACATTGAACAACATCATTTAATTGGTAATATGCTTTAACTTGCTCTCCAGATTTATTAACAATCGTAAAAATTATGTTTTCTCTTTTGTCTTCTCTGTTTTGCAGACAGAGAATTTATCTTGATGACCTCCTCCGACAGTCAGTGTTACACAATGACCACATATAGCATATATAAAGATTACTACTATCACTTGTCATTTATATCCTCCTGTAATGACACTGAGTATCTCAACTGAATGTTTTGAAGTTCACCCATCACTCGACACAACTTCATGGTTAGATGGAATGGACACAGTGTACCCTGGATGAATAAGGAGATGTGGTCCTCATTCTAGAACAATGAACCATCAAATGAAGATTCAAAATTATTTGCATCATTTGTACAGGAGAAGAGAGTGTACCTTTCCAAGAATTACCTGAGGATCCAGAAGCAGAAGTGTTTGTTTCTGGAGAGACTGTAGAAGAAAAAGATGTTCCCTTGGTAGATGAAGCATCTGAACTCCCATTTTGTGGCAACTCTGTTGCACTTGCTTGTGTCGCTAGAAATAAGACAGATGTTCAGGTAAGATACATTTGTCTTAGACCCTGGATCATCCCTCAGACAAATGCTCCTACCATCATAGAAAATACTTACGGTCAGAAAGCACTACAGCTTCTGATATCTGCTTGTCAAGCAATGAACCGTCCTTATGGAATCGCTACTACTGGCATAGTTGAGGCATCTTTAAAGCACATCCTAGCAACAGAAACAGCCTCACATCTGTGCCAGAAGACATCTCAGAGTTCTGACTTGGAAGCCCAGAATAGCTAGACAGTCTTGCACCAAGAGCAACACGAGCAGAAGACAGAAGCTCAACTTATTGCCCTTTTGTTCTTATCTGTTTGTTCTTAATTTGAAAATAGATAAATAAATAAATAAATAAATCAAGCTTCAGCCACAACTGTCACATAATGAGATACTGTTATAAAGTTTTAGGGATTGTAATTAAGTACAAAGTTACTTATTTAATTCTGTACTGTTAAGGTCTAGGAAATAATATACCCCTGAAAATTAATGTACAAAAAATTCAAGTGTATTATTTCTGCTCTCACTCAATCAATAGAAGAACAAGACTGTCTGTGTCAGAAGATTTGCAGCCTAAGGTGAGTCCAAGACAGTGGTGCAGGGCACTGTCTGATCCCACGGAACTGAAGGTCGCCAAATGACTACAAGAAATAATTTAAGCTGTTCCTGCACTGCTGATTATTCCTACGTCTACACTCCAACCTCAGCATAACAACAAGCAAGACAGTGTCTACTGAATAAAACATAGGGGTGCCCAAGAGTAACCTTATACTTCCTTTCTGATATAAATCAGAGATGCGACTGAGCTGTAAGCTGTTTTCAGTGCCCCTTCGTATGAATTTCAAACACTGGAATTAAAATGACTTTAAGACGTATTTTAGTCAGAGAGCAACATCACGCACATGCAATGTGTAAATCTTGAGGAAAGTTTCATCACACACTTTATTCAGAAATCCTGATTACCAGTTTGGGCCATCGAAGAACCCTTTGTTTGGGAAAAAAAACTCTGACAAGCTCCCTGTTTGACCACTACACATCTTCAACTTGGCCCTTCCCTTCCCCTCTTGCTTATTAAGTTCAATACCTTGGAAAGGCAAGCTTCAAAAATCAATGGGCTAAGAAGGAGTGAGCTGAAGGTGCTGGAGTCAGGGGATTCATATAACTTTGGAAACTGAGAGCAGATAGGCAGCCAGGGGTGGTATCTTTCAAGGTTGAAGCATGGAAATCAGGCAAAACAAGCTTAAGCCTAAAACTTCCACTGGGATGCTTGTAACAAGAAGCATAACTTCACGTCAGCTCCCTTCAGAAACCTCAGAATTGTACCTCCACAATATGCAAGCCTGACCTGCATAGACAGGAGTGTAAAAAGACCCTCTACATCATTTTTTACTATAGTAAAATGCAAGGATTTGAAAAGTTTAATAATTCCTGCATTCTTGTCATAGAAGCCTTGAATGAATCTTTAAGAGCAAATTTTTTCACTTATGATTCTTCTGTGGTTGTTTCAAACTCAGATTTTATATGTTGAATTTTAATCTGAGATCAATTGTATAAAAAAGCAAAAAAACCCAAAGTACCTCCCTCTCCCTTTAAGATGCACAGGCTTGTAACAGTAAGAGCAACCATCTTGTGGCTCCCTTGTCATAAGTTAGTAAAAGCTTGCATGGGAGAATGAAAAGTAAGTGAGAACAACAGTAAGCCTTCATGTGCAGAAACATTCAAACATAAATATGTTTTGTGAACAACAAAGCAAAACAATCAGGTGTGTGGGAGAGATGAGAAGGGAGGCACCCAGTTGCCCTGTAACCCCATAGAGGGCTGTTTTCCCATGGGGATCGCATCCTATCAGTCCTGGCAGCAGCCCAGCCCCAGGGTGCTCCTCTTATGTTTGGGAGCTGCAAGAATAGATTGTTCTCAGGAACATGGGCTGTGTGTTGATGTCGTGGTTTAAGCCTTGGCAGGGGATTGGGAGGGGAGGGATGGTAGCATTTCTATTTTATTTTCTTTTAATCCAACCTGGGTGAGATTCTTCCAGTGACTCAGGTAGCACCAGGTATGACTCTCACCTTTACCTAGGGCTTGGCATGAAGCTTGTTGCATTTATTTCTTCAGACTGCAGAGCAGGCTCAGTGCTCGTGGTGTCAAGGGGTGAAGTAGACGTGCTACAGTGCAAAAATCCGTGTGCCAGTTTTCACTTTCCCAAGATGAAAAATGCAATCTGGTGGGTAATGTTCCCTTAATTCCACTGCACCAGTGTAAGATGAAATCCTAGCAACCCAATTCTCTGCTGACTTGTGGCTTTGAAGCAGCTTTGAAGCAGCATCCAAGCCCTACGCCTAATACACAGCCTGGGCTCTGCCACCAACACATTTAGCAGATCAGACAGCTTCTGCACCGAAAGCCTGTGGGAACAGAAGCGTCCATATCCAGCCACTGCTCATGCACGCAGCAACAGCACTGACGGCACAGCACGCCTGCTAGAAATCTGCCTTTTTGGTAAATCCTGGAACTCATAACTATGCAAGGTTTAATTTGATCTCAACTGCGGGAGACAGCGCAAGCCCTCGCTGCGGTGCCCGTGCTCCACGCGGGAACAGGCGGGGGACTCTGTGCGGGCGCGCGGTGACTCAGTTCTGTCATCCCCACTGACACATCGCTGCAGTAATTCATCACGCTTCAGCTCAGCCAGCTGCAGCAAAGATTCCTGCCTGCTGCCAGGGGGAGGCCTGGGCTTGTGGAGAAGCAGCACAGCGCGGAAGGGCGGCTGCTGCTGCTGCAGCTGCTGCTGCAAAAGCACTCGCCTCGTGGGTTAATGGGTTTGTTGTCAACAGCTGATTATGAATAAAAATGGTAAAGCAGTAAAGACTGTAAAATAGCTGTCCAAATGAGGATGATTGCTGCAGCAGCAGAACTCTCTGGTGGTGATGCAGCTCTCCCTGCTGATATTTTGATAAAATAAATGACAGTGTGTTAACATGTATTTGGCAAAGGGATAATCAACAACAGGGAACCTGAAGCCACTCTACAAAGCTGCTGTTTGAGCTTCAGATACTTTCTTACTCTTTGTGCTCTGAAAACCCTTCGTTTTCTTTAACCAGCTGAAATTCAACACATATCCTCGCTTGATCTTAGCATGATTTTCGACTTAATCTGCATATAATCCACACATATTTTGGCATTTTACTTTGTACTTTAAATTTTTTTTTACAGCAAGCTGTTACCTAACCAGCTTTGACATTGTAATATGCTTGAAGTAAGCTACAAATACTCTATGCACTGCAAAGAATATAGACAGCTGTAGGTGTGTTAAAATGTTACGTGACCAAAAAACGAATCAAGGAAACACTTACAGGGCAAAAGGAACATCACCCAAACTACGATAAAATGTCATCACGAGGGCTTTGTTAGATGGAAGACTAAAGCTTCTGCCTTGAGCTCATATTTTTAGCATAAACACATACAGGTCTTGTCCTGTAATCAGTAGCCTGAAAAGCCATTTGAATTAATGAATACATTCATGAAAGTTTTGAAAAATCCAATTGTAGCAAACCCAATTACATTTTTGCCCATTCAGAAGAATGAAAATTGGCTAGGGAGGTAACCAAGCAGAGCTCAGTTTTAATGTTTACACCCACAGTTGATTGCATCTGCTGTCTGCAGCTTTACATTTTCTGGTAAGCAAAAACCACAAGTATTTAAAAACACACATTTTAAAACTTCTTTCTGCCTAACATATCTCAGCAGCCAACTATACTCAGTGTTTACCTATAGCATGTGGTAACAACCTGAGGAAAATTGAGCAATACATGCTAGTATAAACCTCTTCTGGTAGTGTTACTGAAGTAAAGTCTCCATTTAAATTACCAGTAGTTTGATGAAGAGAGAAAAAGGATTTCCTCCACTCTTTCATCACTTTTAAATATTCATTAACTCACTGCACCATGATGTATCATCATCCAAGAGAGTGGCGTGAGATAACTCGGAAACACAACAGTCAAAAATCCACTCTTAACTTGCAACTTAATAACTTGAGCACTGACCTTGCATAAGATGCTTGCTCCATATCCAAGGGGGGAAGAAGAGAAACTTTTGTTGTATTTCATTTTGTATTCTCTTTGATAACTTCAAGTGTCCCAGGATATGAAATCCTGATCGCAGATGCAATTTTCTGTGGTATGACACCACATAAATTCTTGGTTTGGAGTCTGAACTGCACAAGTGAGGTCACTCTGACAAAATGTGAAATCTTGGATTTGACACCTTATACTGGTAAATAAAAAGGCTAAGGAGACCAATCTAATGATGGCTTCCATTATAATAAACCAGGCAGGAAGGCTAAGAAGGAGAGACTGTACTTATGGCCCGCAGAGGAAAAGTACACTGAAAAAAAAAAGACAAAGACTTTCGCATGATTTCACAGTGTATGGAGCACTGGGGACTTTTCCTGAATCTATAATAAAAGGTGACAGCAGCCACAGAAATTGCAGCAGAGACAGGAAGCCCTGTCACATCTTTGCTGTGTGAATGTGATCATTTGCTGAAGCTTTTAGCAGGGATTGAAGCAGAGAAAGTGATGACTTTTATTACAAAACAACAAAGGTGCCTGCTTTTTATTAAAAATCAGGTGCAGTAAAAGTAAATTTTGAAGTGCCATAAAGGCACACCACCAATTTCTGGCTCAATCTCATACAACCAGTGCAATAAAAGGGGAGAAGTGAGTGACAGTGGGAAAAAAAAAAAAAGACAGAGTAGCCAACTTTCATCTCCTGTCCATTTTGAGAGCAGAAATCTTGCTGTGCCTGTGCTTGTTTCAGGGAGCTCAACTCCCTCCTCCCTGTGCTGCTGCTGGGGGTGCCGGCAGGGGCTGGGAGGACGCAGTGAAGCCAGGGGCACCTCGCTGTGCCAATGTGTGGGCAGGAAACAGAGAGATGCCTGTAGCCAGCAGCCACACAGTGGCTGGGGTGGTCTGCGGGTTTTCTGCAAGGCTGGCCACACATCTGCACAGCCCCTGTGCTATGCCCTGTCCCAAAACCAATACCAGTGCCTCATCCACTCCTTTGTGCTGAAGCCAAGGTTATGACCTTCTTGAAGAGTAGACCAGAATTTTATCTTAAAAAAACCACTAAAATTGGTTTTCACATACACATATTTCCAAACACTACTTTAGCATTAAAAGAAAATACAAAGTTCTTTAATGCAGGGCAGTTCCCAATGTCCTGGACACACTGTCCCAGTTTTCCTTTACACAAAGGCAACTGAAGGCAGGTATGCCCTGCTTTTAGGTTAATTTATCAACCATTTTTTTATCTCAAGTTTTGTTTTTCTTTTTTTTTTTTTTTTAGGTTAAATGAGGAGTTTTAAAAACAAATCACAACGCAAGAAACTAGGGACTGAACTCTAGTTGGTGGGAAAAGAATGCAAGAGGAATGGAAAGGAAGCACATTGGTAAAGGCTTCTTGCTTGGAGTCCATCATACCTCCAGCACCATTGTACCCCCAGCACCAGTTTTTCAGTGCAGAGCAGTGGCTGGAGCTAAGCTGCACTGGCAGGCATGCCTTTCCTCATTAGCTTCCCTTCCCCTGCTGGGAGCTCTACCTGTCACCCAGGTTTAGTTCCAGGTGGCTGTGCTGCTCCGGTACCCACAAGCCAGGAATTTCTGCCAAACTGAAAAGACTAGGAATCCTATCCATAAAGCACAGCAGGAAACCTGCACCAGTAGAAGATGAGACCACTAAGTGGAAGGGGAATAGCTCTCTAGGCAGCTTAGCAGGCTTGGGTCTACAAGGGGTGGCTTCAAAGAAAAATTTGCACAAAGAAAGCATGCAGGCTGCTACACAGGAGCCCCTTTTTAGGCAAGTAAGCCAAGGGAAGAGAAGTCACATTCTAATCATTAGTCACAGTTCAGTATGCTGTAAACATCAATTCTGAGATCATTGGTGTACCGAGCTAAGTATTTGGAGTATTTTTTTAACATTTTTTTTTAGTAAATTAAATACAAAAAAATGGAGTATTTCAAAGCTATTGTTCATCAAAGGACTGAAGCAAACATTTACAGTGCAGTTCATGGACAAAAAAGGGAGACTTAATTTCATCTTAAGTGTATCAAGCTCCTTTTGGATGTTATTATACTTGTTTAAATGAATCCAACTATTTGCTGGATAATGGGTTTCAGTTTTTACTTAATTTTATTTTATTTTTCTAAAATCCAATCTGATGTTCCAGCCAACACACACATTATTCTGAAGATTTATTGGGAACAAAATTGTTTCCTACGATTGTTGCAGAGTAATTAGTACCACCTCTCTGCTTTCTGTACAATGACTCATAATAATATGGAACATAATTAACTGTAGTATTGTAACATATATAAACACAAAAAACAAAGGGGGGCTATTCTGATACCATTCTGATCATACAGAATATTTTTTTTTATTAAATACTTAGAGAAAAACAAACAAAGGAGAAAAAAAATAAGATCTTTTCAAATACATCTGTCCCAGTTACAAGGAGATTAAAATCCTGTGCAATGGCTTCAGATCATCTACACTGCAAATTTAAGGTGCAATATTCTTTGTGTAAGATTCTAGGAGAAGATTCATTAAAGATATGTAATATGGCAGGATTAATATCTCTGCTTCCCTAGACCACCAAATTCAGACCCCAAACTATAATCTTTTTTACCTCCTTTAATTCTCCACACTGTTTTATAGAAATGCAGCATAGAACAAATCAGAAATGGCTCAATGAAATTATCACTTACTGTTTGTTGTGCTGAAACTTTCATCTGTTGCTGTCGTTGTCACTTTTACCACTGCTTGTGTTGTTGTACCTTGTGTTATACCTTGTGTAGCATTAGGCAAAGAAGACATGGATGCTAACAAAGGAAAGACATTCAATTTATTTCCTTTAGTTTTGTATACACACATGTGCACACACACAAAACACGCCTATTTCCCTGCTCGAAGTCTAATTTTAAATTAGCAAAAAAATATTTAATTTAAATTGAAGATCAACAGGGATAGGACTCCCAGAGGAAGCCACTGCCTGTCCCGTAGGTGGGTCATCCCACTGAAGATGAGCGATAATACAATTAGAAGGCCTAGACTGGAGCTGCCTCGAGCCTGATGGGGAGGAAGCTCCTGCACACTTCTGCAAGGGTTCAGCAAAGGGTTCACTAAGGGGTCTGTAAAATGAACTCCCAAAACAAGAGGCACTGCTGCCTAATTTCCTGAATGCCCACCTGAACAGCATCAACAATTGAGTGAAATTTTCACTTACTACTGTTTGTGATGGATTCAGTTGCAGCTCCAACTGCAGTTGTTGTTGTTGGCACTGATGCTTGCGATGGTGTTACTTGTGAAATTGATGCCTTCATGGATTCTGTTACTGCAAGAAAGGCATGCACATCTTTAGTGATCTATTTTATCATGCATAAATAAACATCACATATCTCCAGCTGCATTCTCTCACCAAGGCAGTGAATTTCTGTTTTAAATCTTGCCCTTACAGAGCTTTCTTACCCATTTCTGAAGAGGATTCAAAGGGTATATGGCTGGTTTCAGAGGTGAGGTTTGGCCTGTGAACAGTCTGCAAGTTGCCTACTGAAAGTTAGCAGCTGTATCTTCCAGCTAGCTCCTGAAGGAGAGGTGCTTGGCTTGACTTCCAAAGGAAGTGGTGAGGGGTAAGGAGCCTGGTGTGGATGGATGATTCCACTTTGCTGGACTACACCTCTGACCAGCACTTTGCTGCATACCTGTTTAATAGGATGAGGGATGTAAAATCTCCATAAAAAATTGTGAGTGACACAAGGGAAGAGAGTTTATAAGTCTCAGGTAAAGAGCCGAAGGGGAAGAGACTCTACTAGTCTTTGTGCAATTTCCCCTTGCTTGTCCACCTTGAGCCACATTTGAATCTTCTTCATTGGCCAGCTTTTCCAGACCCTCTTCCTCTGCACTCAGATTTTTTTGGGAAAAAAGGGCACCCAGCAGGCCTTCCTCTTTGGAGTGCAGCAAAGCTTTGGAGATTGTGCATGGTATATCAATAGCATTCACTAGTAAGTGATATTCCCTGGGGTGAACTCGGTGCCCTTTGTACCATAACTCCTAGTTCCCTCCTCCAGAGGAGTGAGACTTGGAGGCTAGGGGGTGGGGAAAGGGCTCCTGCAGGAAGCAGGGATCCCTTCCCAGCTGCTGCTGCTATGGAGATATGGGGACAGAGTTGCCCAAACATCACTAAGGCAATAGTAAGGTTTCAATCAGTGTGTCTTGCTGTGCGTGGGTACTGCAGGTCCCATGTGCCCCAGGCACTTGCTCAAGGGAATGGACTGGCTAAATTACTGCCAGGGTTTCTGGACTAAAAAAACTCCATAAATAATAATTTTGAGAGACCAGCTTTCAATTCTGTAATCTAATGCAAACAGAAAGTGATACTGCCAGCTACAGGGGCTTATTTAAATACCTACAACTACTACTTCTACTGACCTACTATGTCCTTTAGCACTTTTAATGGATGAGATACATGAAAGAATAGGAACAAATCACGACATGTCATATAATTTTCTCTCATAGGACTTAAATATGTCTAAATGCAATGTTCACACCTGAACTTTTAAATTTCATCTTATACTCTCTTTCTCTCCTCTCAGTTTTCTCGCTGTTCACCTAGAATAAGCAGAATGGACCTCCTTTCTCCACACTCACAAATGGCTTTAATCTTATAGTGGGTTTCTGATGCTTTTCTCATGGGCATAAGTAACAATGCTGCTTTCCTTTACACGACAAAAAGCTGCAAAAGAAATTTCAGTGAAACATTCAAAGGGTTGATTCACTGGGAGGTGTTTGGCCTTTCTGAAATGTCTTTTAAACAGACATAAACATCACAGTATCTGAAACATCAAAGAACTGCAACACAATTTGAAAAGGATTAATTCTTCTGCTGTAATAAACATAACTTTATGTAATAAACATAACTCTATTCACCTGGTTGTATCTTATTCACCTGCATTACTTGCATATAAAGTGTATCCTTCATAACCTCAGTGCTTTCAGCTCCACAGTAGACTCATTAGTGTCTCTAGCTACCAAAAATTAGAATACCACATTCATGTTTTCTTCTCTCACATGCATCACTCATTAAAAGCAACAGTCTTCAATATTCAGACTAGCAAAGGAGTTGATATTTAGCTCACATGAATGAAACATGGCCAATATTGATTTTTCATAACTTTCCATAACAAAGCTGCATAATGAAGAGAACTGAATGCGTCAGTTAAAGATGTAAACCAGAATCCCAGACTTTAACCATCTGAAGCAGGTATTTTCTCTGTTAGGTCTGCATAGTTTTAGGACTTGAAGTTTGATCTACTTAATCACGAAAAAGGAGAGAGAAAAGGGAGCTTTTGAAACGTGAATCTTGACATCAATAGTTTCAAGAAGTTATCAGCAGCATTTCTGCAGGTGACAGGTTCATGCACACGTAATCACTTCTATCAGCTGAGGCCCAACGTTGGCATTTATTGGTTATTTCTTTTCTATCAAAGTCCATCTTCCTCTTTCGTCATTCTACACCCATCAAATCAGCTACTTCCTGCTGCCAAATATCTTAATTGATGCTGTTTCCCAAATTATTCTCAATCTGACAATTTCTTGAACTGTCAGTCTTCGGTAACTTGTTAATATCCAATCTCACTTGAACTACTCTTGAGCATACAGAAACTCACAGAATTTCACCTTTTTCACCCAAAACAAAAAATGAAACCTGCTCAAACCAACTGTCTCCGTACTAAGATAGTTCAATCCTTTCTTTGCAGCAGAGTTTCATAACCACCCTACATGAAATAATTCACCTGATTTCTCCCTGAAATCGGAAAAGTTGAAAGCTAAAAGACAACAGGGGCTTCAGAACACCAGATAACAGGGAACTGGAACTCTTACCGGATTTTGATCCTGATGTAGGAACAGTTGCACTGACAGTAGGGGTTGTAAGGCCATCTTCTGAAATAGGTACAGAAAGAATCATATTACTTCTGTCGCCTTCCAGTTCTATTTAGCACTACATAGTCATATTAGCAGAGAGCAGCAAGAACCTTCCTGGAAAAAAATCGAGTTCAGAAGCCTCTCAGCAGAAGCAACCATATCATATTACTCTGCCAAAAATCTTTTCAATCTATATCCTAAATTTCTTCATTTTGCCCTCACTTCTACAATGTGGAGCATCTTCTACTTCCTCCCACCTTGGACTGCACATTATTTTCCAACAGGTGTCTCCAAGACTAGTTTGAGGGGAAAAATGGAGCTATTAAAGGTTTTTCACTATCTCCTCCTCTCCTTGAGTACAACCACATCTGCTCTGAGTCTTCAGGGTGGAGGATTAACTAAAATAACTGTCCACAGGAGCAAGCATCCATTCTCCTGCCTTGAAATAATAAAACTGTACTAGCTCCCTGGCTAGTATAAGCAGTTCAGGAAGTGTTTTCGACATCACCTTGGTCCCTATATGTGAGAGGAAAAGGAGAATTCATAAAACACGGCTTGAGAAGTACCAGGCTGAGTAATGACTGGCTTTCCCCACTGCCCTGAAGGCAGTGACTGCAGCTATAGGGATTTCACTGCAGTAAATTACGCCAGTCTTAAAAATTCTAGGTCAAGTTAGTAGGTGGGTATTCAATATTACAAAACAAACAAACTACCCAAAAAAGAAACCCCAACAAACAAAAAGCGAAGTAATTTCTGTATTTTCTGACTGTACTGAAAGGTTGTTGGCTTCAAACAAGATTTTCAGTCTTATTGCTGGTTTGTCCATATTTTTCTGGTACAAGAAGTTAGGGGGTGATGAAGGGGGTAGAAAAAAACTACATTGACTCAGAAACAGTGGCATTTCTCAACCATTTTACACTGCTGTGAGACAAGTGTGGGTACATTTGGGGAGGCCTAGATCAACTCTGTAGCTGAATGGGAGAGGAAAATGGCATAGGCTAATCCCCTAGTGCTTTCACGTTTGAAGCGTGATATCCTGTCATGCTGCATTAGCATCCTGTAATACAGACATTGCAAAACTGAGTCAGGACAGCATGTCACTATTCTTGTGTGACTCCATTCATGGTAATATCTGCTGGCATTCTCTCTTTTTTTGGCTACAGGGCAGAACAGTCAGTTTTGTTCCCTTTGCTCAGTGTGCTGCGCTCCGATTAACATTTCACGAGCACCACCCGAGGCCTGCCAGAGTCACAGATCTAACCTGAAAAAAAACCCCAACATAATACAATCTCAGGGGCTTTGCAGGAATATATTAAGGTCTAATCAGATGGGCCCTTACAGTGCCTCTTCCAGCAGTGTATTATCAGCCCTCTTGGCACCTGCGTGTTTCTAAGTGGTCTCAGTCCCTTCCCAGGGAGCCCCAATTCCCTGAGTATCTTTTCTAGGGATGCTGCTGCCTTCATAATGCCTCATCACAGCACATACTGGGCCAGCTTGTTGTGGGCATATCCTACAGAAAATTAAATGAGTCTCCTATGGGCCTGCTGCTGTCCCAGCTCTACTCCCCAGAACACATGGATACACTGACTACGCACAGTCTCGTGCACACTCCATTTAAAATATAGATCTTCCTGCCATTTAGTTCCCCAGTCAGAATAATGCTTTATAACCCACACTTGAAATACTTGGAAAACAAATTTTATCTGAAGAGACCTAAAGGCAATCTTGTTTCCCTAAGCAGCGAGCATTTTTCCATCTCTTCATTCTCATTATGTGCTGCTGACAGAGCTCCTCTAATCCCCCACACCACAAGGCCACAGCACTAGAACAGAATGTTTTTTCAACAGTGCCTACATTTCATATGGTTTTGTTTTAACATCTCTCAGTAGCTACCGTGTCTGTAGCACCAGCTAAACGTGCTAGCTGGCCAATTAGCTCATTCCTGAACTCATTTTTCTCAAAACTCTTCCCCTAACTCAGCCTGACTTTCTGGGAAGCCCACTAAAATACTTAGATTATTCATCCTTTAAAGATGTTCCATTTAATAACCATGTTGATAGGCCAAGCTTTCCTCAAAACTAAAAAAAAAAAAGGAATTTGAGGCACAGGTTTGTTATGAGTCACTATTTGCTGATTTTATCACAGGTTAGAGATAAACTAAGGTAAATTCAATTAACAGTATAATAAAGTAGAGTTTTCTGAATTAATTGTTTTCTTAAAAAGGTGAATAATTAAATATACTTTAAAGAGAAGTTGAAAGCAACATGCAAAAGACAGGATTGCGGGGGGGGGGGAACTGGTTGATTAAAAGAAATGATAGAACTGATGGCTTATTATGCTCTTATTTGCAATGTTAAGTTGTGACTAAGGAGAATCCTATGGGGGATAAAAGCGAGAGATCAAAAATGACTGAGAAAAGAATTTTCACCCATTAGAGACTGTTGTTAGACAAAGAGGGAGACAGAAAGCTTCATTTTTCTGCTCATGGCAGCTTGCCTGCAGCCTCAGGTGATGGACAACTAAGTAAAGCTACAATTGCATGTTTTTAGTAAATTTAGATGCAATGATCCCTTTGATACAAGATGTGGGAGCAGCCAAAATCTATGCAGCAATTTCTCCCACACAGAAACTGCTGCCATTTGCTGTGCTCTCTGGCAATAAACCCAGCTGAAAGAGCATATGTGACCTGTGATGTCTGGAGAACATGCAAGGAGCTAAAAGGTGCTCACATACCACACTGGGCTGAATAAAAGGATGATGGTGGTAGTGCTAAGACTGACAAAGAAAAAAAAACACGTCTTAGAGCAGATACCAAGGCAGGAAGAAATCAGAACTGAGAGAAAGACAAAAGGACAGGAAGATGAGAGGGGAAGGGCAGAAAGGTCTAGAGACAGTAAGACAGTCAGGGTGGCAGGGAAAAACGAGAAGGAACTAAGAAGAGATCAAAGAATATCTGACACATGGACAGAAGACAAAACTGAAAAGAGAGTAACTGTTGTGGTTTTGTTGTTTTTTGTTATTGGTTCCCCCCCAGGTTCACAGAATTTCTCTTTATTGTCTTTTCTGGATTGTATTTAAATGGTATATTTGTTCTAAAATGAAAGCAACAGTACAATCATTTGTATCTGGTCTTAAGATTTCTAAATGGACAAACTGAGACACTGAACTTACTAACTTCTTTTAAATTCAGAAGCAGTCTTTGAATTTAGACAGCGCTGACCTACAGCCACAGTTGTCCTCAAACTGCAGCTTTTGATGCAGGCTTCAGCCTCCAAGGTCTGAGCTTGGAGTTCTCATAATTCCTTACCTCTCTCTCTCTCATTATTTTTGCCTTTACACTGGGAATAAGAAAGGGAATAGGAAGATAAGCGGGTTCTGACCTTGTGTTAATTAGGTGCCTGTTACTGCTACAATCAAGACAGAAAAAAAAAAAAAAGAAGAAATGACTGCATGATATTACATCAGCAGTTCTGTTTATATCTTACAGGACACTACAGGGCACAAACCACAAAGTTTAAAACATCACATGAAATAGATATAACACAACACTGAATGCCAAAGCAAAAACATTTTTAAAGATTAATAGATTGTTCAAAGTAGATATTGATTACATTCATTACATGAATTACTGAATTTAACTGCTGTCTCGTTTGGCATCAATATCTGATTTTGAAAAGAAATTATTTTTATGGAAAATTCACTATCATTACAGAAATAGCAAGTGAAATGTCCTGTTCGGCATTTGTACTTGACCTTGCACTACGTAGACAAAACCATATAATTAAAATCCCTCCATTCAGATGAAGTACTTGGTCCAGCTTTAGAAGGGTGTTGAGAAGGGTGGGGATTCCTGGATGTGGGGAGCTATTGGAGAAGCATAAAAATCATCAGGAGCCTCGAGAAAAATAACTGCTCAGGAAGGATGTCTAGTTTAGAGACAGAAGGATTAATGGAAGGCAAAACAGCAGCAGTCAGCAGGTGAGGGGCTGCAGCAAAGACAAAAGAATAAAATTATGAAATGAGAGGCAATGGGCAAGGAAAATTTGAACTGTAAACCCTGTAGGTTTTCTGGTGCCTGTGTCAAGCTGTTGGTGTAATGGCCAAAAACTGGTATTTTAACCATTTTCCTGATGAGGATGTAATATATTCCCACTCAAAATCAGACCACTGCCCAATAGGTTGCAGCGAGGAGCAATCACCAAAGGGGTGTCCTGAAGAAACCTGTACATGTTAATTCACTCCTTCAAGGCTATAAAACAGAATTTATAATTGGTGTTGTTATGTCATGTCTGTTTACTGTATATTACCATAGAGTCATAGAATGGTTTGTGTTGGAAGGGACCTTAAAGACCACCCAGTTCCAACTTCCCTGCTGTCTGCATAGACATCTTCCACTACAACAGTTTGCTCAGAGCTCCATCCAGCCTGGCCTTGAACATCTCCAGGGACGGGGCATCCACATCTTCTCTGGGCAACTGTTCCAGTGCCTCACCAGCCTAACAGTAAAGATTTTCTTCCTTATATCTAATTTAAACCTACTCCCTTTCGGGATGTTATATTATGGTTGGTTGTGTGACCCTGGGCCTTTGCAAAGACATACAAGTCATGGAGGGGTCAAAGTTGTGGTTTTGCTTTCTATCTTACCATGCCATCAGAAATAAATAATGATCTCTTTCCAGCAAATGATAATTCTGTCAGCCCCCATGACCATGATAGAGCCTCCTGTAACAGCTGCTCCAGTAGTACCTGTGTAAAGACTGTACATCGAGACTGTACATAAAGTTCATTGAATATTTTACCCTTTCTGGAAGAAGTTATAGCTGCACTTGTAAGAAAATCTGGTACTAATGCTCTCAGAGTTCCCAGAGTTCCCAGAGTTCCCAAGAAACAGCTGCTGCCTGACAATGTGCACAACCTGTTTCCTCTTACCTTGGAGCTCTGTTGTCTACTAGGTTTGCTCTTTCATTTTCACTTATTGCTGCTTCATCTCTTCATTCTCCTATCTGATCTTCCCCCAG